TTGAAACTTGGCTGCAGCGTGGACAGAGTGGTGCTGGTGCATGACCTAGAAGAAGGATAATGAGGGGCCTTGGTGATGGGGCTGAAGAAAGGGTGTAGTTTCAGAATATAGTTAGAGATCAAGCTAGTGGGTCCTGACACCACTGATTGAATGGGGAAGCAGCTGGGGAAAGAGGGAAGCAGGCTCCGGTTTGGTCACCTGGAGGACAGCCCAGGGGACAGTGTTCTCAGCCCATTTCCACCTCGTTGGCCAGTTCCGCATCTTCCACATCTTCCCTGCTGGACTCAGCCTCTCCCATTCCTGGTTATCCTCGGAGACCTAGCTGCAACTCCACTGTCAGAGCCCAAAGGCTGAGTCCATTCACAAAGAACCTTCCAGCCTGTCTCTCTAGCCTCCTTTTCCTGTTTCACACTGCTCCTTTGGGTGTCGTGACCCAGGAATCCCATTCAGGTATGCACATTCAGCAGTTCTTTCCTTGAGCACGAGATCTGGGTCTTGCCACTCTGGGCACAGGGACTACAGACCTGCAGGAAACTGAATGCATAAGTGAAAATTGGGCTAGATCAAGGGTAGCAGATAGTGGGTTTCTCCCCAGCTGCCTGGAGTACTGTGGAGGGTTCTGAATCTGTGTCTAGGCTTAGCTGCACAGAGTATTGTGATCGATTAGTGATGTCTGCCACGAGCACAGGATGATAGGGCAGTGTACGTGCCATTTATGTACAATCTCTTAATGACAAGATCTGTATCGTCTGGGCAGACTACAGCTGTACTCAGGAAAAATCAAAGATGGCGTCCAGATGGCTGGGATGGCTGAGGGCAGAAACAAATCAGAAGGCGGCCGTTAGGAGAACTGGAGCCAGTGTCCGATCCAGGCTGTCCTCAGCACTGCATTTCCAGCTTTCCTACCACTCTCCACTTGTGTCCATTACATAACGACGCCCCTCAACCACCTTTTGTTTGCACACAGGGGTTCTTCTAGCTAACGCCTGCCTGCCCGTGGTTTCCTTTTGGCAGCGTAAGTCATTGTCAGTACTGTGGTCTTTGAGCAGTCCATCTGAATATTTTATTTCCCTTAGTCTTATTTTTAAAAATGTAAAAATGGAGGTGTGGATACCAGTGGAGGGAAGGTAGTTCTCCTCAATGTAATGTAGAAGCAGAACATGCATTTAGAACTTTAAACAACGGAATTACTTCAAAATAGTTATTAGCTATTTAATAAGTCACGCTACAGTGATCATTGAGGAGCAGCCTACTGTATATGTTGCTGAGGGCACAGTGAGGGTACACTTGGCCAGGTTATAAGTGACCCCCTACATATGGGAGTGCTGATGCATAGGGGCACGTGTACCCCAATGTTCACAGCACTCTCAACAGCCGAATCGTGGAAAGAGCCTAAATGTCTATCAACTGACGAATGGATCAACGTGATGTGGTTTATATATACAATGGAATACTACATGGCAGTGAGAAAGAATGAAATCTGACCATTTGTAGCAACATGGATGGAACTTGAGGTTTCATGCTAAGTGACGCAAGTCAGGCAGAGAAAGATAGATACCATATGTTTTCACTCATATGTGGAACAGGAGAAACTTAACAGAAGACCGTGGGGGAGGGGAAAGGGAAAAAATAGTTAAGGAGAGGGAGGGAGACAAACCATAAGAGACTCTTAAATACTGAGAACAAACAGAGGGTTGATGGGGTTGAGGGAAAGGGGAAGGGGGGTGATGGGTGTGGAGGAAGGCACTTGTGGGGATGAGCACTGGATGTTGTGTGAAAACCAACTTGACAATAAACTCTTTTAAAAAATACATAAATAAATATTTATTTCAATATTTTTGAAAAAAAAATAAGTGACCCCTTAATGTAAACTCAAAAACAGACCAGGTGGAGGGATGCCTAGATGGCTCACTTGGTTGAGTATCCAACTCCAGTCTTAATTTTGGCTCAGGTCATCATCCCAGGGTCCTGGGATCCAGCCCCACATCAGGCTCCATGCTTAGCATGGAGATTCTCTCTCTCCCTCTGCCCCTCTACCCTTCTCTCTCTCTCTCTCTCTCTCTCAAAAAAAAAAAAAAAAAGACCACATGGAGTATAACTGACAAGCTTAGTCACATCAAGTTGGTCCCACAGAGTAAAGATAAAGTTCTATGATTTTAATTTGTTCTATTTTATATGATAACATTCTTTTCCTTGCATTTTATCAGCATTGGGGGTTAAGGTAGAAATATCATTCAGGGCCTGGGCATTCTGGATAATTAATCTTCTGCCATGCCACAGAGATTAAAGTGGAAATTATGCAATTAAAAGCAATAGATTTTAGCTTCCTCCTGTCTTTTCATAGACATAAGCTAGTTGACCATGGTGTGGGGGTCATTGTGAAGGAAGATAATCAAGAATTTATATGAAATGCTGACGATCCGTGATAGATTGTGCAAGGCTAAGGGAAATGGGAGCTTTTATACCATGATTAGCCATCTGGGCAGGAACCATCCACCCTACTGACTGCTGGCCTCTAAGTTCTGACTGTTAATATCGGCCGCTGGCTCTGATTCTTACATATCTGACTGCATTCACTTAGGTTACATTATATTTTACAGCAAGAGATTGTTTGAATTAACTGGTTGATATGTCAGTAGTGCCCATTGCTGGTTTGGAAACAGGGTGCTGAAAGGGCTGGGGCAGAGCTGTGAGTGAGGATGGGGCCAGCATTGTAGGTTAAGGCAACAATCCAGACGTGAGCGGGACCCAAAGACACCTCTCTGCTGGTTCTTTTTTCTTGTTTTTGAGGACTGGGTTTAAATCCCTGATTTGTCACTTACCAACTGAAGGACTTACATTTGCATTTATGCTGTTTGTAGGTTAAGCCCAAAGAAGCAATACTTTTTTTTTTTTTATTATTTTTTGTCATGTTCCTGACCCTTAAGTCCCTCTAATGCATATACGACCATTCTTCAATGAACTAATAGCACAGTTAACACAAGAATCACTGTGTGTCCTACCACATATAGTGTCTCTATTTCAGCTTTTATAAGATGTTAATTTATATGATAATTGGGGCGCCTGGGTGACTCGGTCAGTTAAGTGTCGACTTCAGCTCAGGTCATGATCTCACGGTTCGTGGGTTCGAGCCCCATGTCGGGCTCTGTGCTGACAGCTCAGAGCCTGGAGCCTGTTTCAGATTCTGACTCCCTCTCTCTCTGACCTTCACTGCTCACGCTGTCTCTATTGCTTTCTCAAAAAAAAAATATATATATATATATATATGATAATATATATATCATGATAATATATAATACAAGCAAAGTTCAAGAGGAAGTGCTGTATACATGTAACTGTTTCTATTGTCATGTGTAAAGTGGATGGCATTTAGGAAGATTTTATTGTCTTCTTCCCTCTGTCCCCATTTCCCGTGTCCTGAATTCCTATTTATCCGTTATGGTCTAATACCTGGATCACCTCCTTAGAGAAGCTCTCCCCGATTGCCCCTGTGATTAATCTGTGCTCCTCCATCCTTTACACTCCCCTTATTACATAATACGTTAATTATCTACTTACCTACATGTCTGTCTTTTCTACCAGTGGGGAGGCCTCGTGAAGCAGAAACTTCCATTTGAGACTCATTTACATATTCCAGGGTCTAGCTCAGTGCTTGGTACATGTAAGTGAGTAAGTGCAAAAGCTGAGTAAAGGACTGGACCACCGGTGAAAGAAACCCTGAGTTGGAAAGGGTTTTAACGAGAAGAATTAAGACCGTACAGCACAGGTACTTTACCAGGGCCGTCTAAGTCTCTGAGCCATCCTAAAGCTGGTACACATATCTGTGTCTGTGCACCTTTGCGGGAAGAGAGGAGAGTCTGTAGCTGTTCTCAGGTTCTCAGAGGTGTCCATGGTCCCCAAATGTTGACAAGTTGCGGGTATAAACAGATGGAATAGGCAGGCCCCACAGAGAGGACATGACGAAGCGATTGCAGAAGAGAATGTGCCAAAGGAGGAAAAATCAGACCCGGAGGAGACACCGCGTCCCGCATGGACCTCCAGGAGAGATTGTGGCCCCAGGACAGGAACTCCTGGAGTCTTGAGGGCATTGCTGTTTGCTTATAAGTGGCACTTGTGTGAGGAAACCCAGGCAACATTCTGTTTCTTGCACAGAATCTGTGGCTGAAAGGGCTGCCCAGGTTCGTTGGGTCCAATCACCTGCCTCCAGCAACACCAAGCTGAAATGATCCCAGGCAAACACTGGGTCTTTCTTGCCCCAAATAGCTTCCCTCCCCTTCTCCCCTGCACTTTTCCTTCCTTCCTTCCTTCCTTCCTTCCTTCCTTCCTTCCTTCCTTCCTTCCTTCCTTCGGGCATGTGAGTGGGAGAGGGGCAGAGAGAGAGGAAGAAAGAGAGAATCCCAAGCAGGTTCCACGCCATCAGCTTAGCGCCCAGTGCAGGGCTCGATCTCACAAACCCCGAGATCATGACCCGAGTCGAAGTCAAGAGTCAGACACTCAACCGACTGGGCTACCCAGGTGCCCCTCCCCTGCACCTTTCTATTCTGTCCTTGGCTGTTAAAACTTGATTACCATTAAGAGCCATCTTTTTCAGAAATGTGTGTCATGGTCCATTCGTGAATCGTGACCTGAATTTAGAGGGTCATGACCAGCCTCATAAAAACATAAAGTAGAATATGATAGAAAATATTGAGTGCATCACACATGTAAGAGTGAGTATTTTGTGGAGCATCCTGTTTCAGCTCAATGTGTGTGGGTTGTGGTCACAAATGATTGAAAAGCACCGATCTCAAGCATCACCATAGGCATTCGCTAGCTGCTCACTGAAAGACCAGACCCCTGAGTGGACGGTGGTGAGGGATGAGGCAGGAGAGAAGCCACACTGGGGGTTCCTTGTACTGCTGCACTGGGAAGTCCCCTGCTCCTGGCTGGAAGTGAGGGGCCTGCCACGTTGCCCACCACCATCACCCCTTCTTGATTCTTTCCTCTCCTCCCCTGGGCAGGTTGTATACGTCACCGCAACATTTCCCTATATCATGCTTCTGATCCTCCTGATCCGAGGGATCACCTTGCCCGGGGCCTCCGAAGGCATCAAGTTCTACCTGTATCCTGACCTCTCCCGGCTCTCCGACCCACAGGTAAAGTTGCTTGCTCCGTGTCCAGTTGCCCTTCACCCCTGGGGCGCCCTCTGCAGGCCTCTGCTGCCAGCCACGGGGGCTCAGCAGCTGGCTGAGCATGTAGAAGCCTGTGGACCCCTTCTCACAATAATCATTTTCCATGCATAAATTAAATGCCTAGGAAATCCAATATATTGAAATACAACCACCAAAACATTAATAAAAGACAGATTCGTGATGTGGTAATAATATACGTGCTTGTTTATCAATATATCAAAGAGAAAGATCCCACAACAGGTCCAGTGATTTTTGTGGTTTCAAGGTCATGATGAACATAAATGATGTTTGGAGATATCGATACCGTGATACAAAAGTATCTGCGATTTCTCCTGCTAACAATTCTGTAGTTTGTTGTCTACATTCATAATTGAAGAAATGCTAAATTTGTTAGAGGTAAGTGAAAATAGAAACTTTTTCCTCCCGCCCAAGGTCACAGATCCCCACAAGCCATGCATCTCCGTGAGAGCAGCTGGGTGGGTCTCTGTTAGGGATGGATTTTCCTTGTGGGTGTAGCTCCCAGAAAGAGAATAATTGGTGAAAACTGGCTCTACCTGTTAGCTGTCTCCAGTAAGGCATTGGTTGTTCTGAACTTTGGATAGTGACTGTTTATACCTGAGCTTTTCGATGTGGGCAGTGGCGCTGTGCCTGGCTGTGTGTGAGACCAGAGAGGAAAACGAACACCTTGCGGGCTAAGAGGTGCCCAACTGCCTGTTAGAAACTCGTGGGAACTTTTGAAAAATCCCCATTCCCAGAGCATAACCCAGACCAATTCAATTAAATTTTGGGGGGTGGGCCCTGGCTATCAGTACCTTCTAAAGGCCCCCAGGCAATTCCAGGGTGTCATAGAATGTGCTCAAAGACACGTGGTGGATGAGGAGACATCCATCTTTTTTACCGAGGTGTAGTTGATATACAATGTTATATTAGTTTCAGGTGTACAGCACAGTGATTCAGGATTTTTATACATTACAAAGTGATCACCATGATAAATCTAGTGGTCACCATACACAGTTGCTATGTATTATCAACTCTATTCCATATGGTGTACATTGTATCCCTGTGCCTTATTTATTTTATAACTATAAGTTTGTACCTTTTAATCCCCTTCCTCTATTTTGCCTACCCCCATCCCAGCAACAAGATACAGATTGTTCTCTGTATCTAAGAATCTGTTTCTGTTTTAAATTTTTTTAGATTCCACATATCAGTGAAATCATACAGTATTTGTCTTTCTCTGACTTATTTCACTTAGCATAATACACCCAGGTCCATCCATGTTGTTGCAAATAGCAAGATTTCATTCTTCTTTATGACCGAATAATATTCCATTGTATCTGTATACCATTTTTTCTTTATCCATTCGTCAGTCAGTGGGCGCTTGGGCTGCTTTTATAATTTGGCTATTGTAAATAATGCCATGAGGAACATAGAGACACCCATTTTTCTATTAAAACAAACATAGATAGATCACACATTAGAATGTAGAATCTGCATTTGTAGCAGATAAGCCTGCGAGCAACTCCAAACCTGCAGTCTGTGGCTTCCAGCCACCCCTGTTCGTAGACCGTGGTGGAAAGGTTTATGGAGGGTGAGCTATCGCAGCTCGGGCGGAGCTCATCACACACTAAGGTCCGAGCCGGAGTGGCAACGCGGGCTCGTTTCCATCTCACTTTGCTGCGCTGTGAGGGGCCCCCGAGGCTCAGGACGGTACCGGGCACCTGATGGCACATCCTGAATCACAGGCAGAATCCCTAGGAGGAAGCAAATTAGCTCCTGACTGTTAGCCTCACCAGCTCCAGCCCCTGATGGCAAAGGCTCTGTTGGAGAATCGGCTTTGGAAAACGTATTTCCAGAATCACTGGTCTGTGCCTTTTCCTCAAAGCCACAAATTCTTGGCCCCGTAAAGACTTCCTATTCTTCCCTCTGCTCACAGCCTGCCTTACCCTGTTCCTCAAAGTCTATTAGGAAGGAGAGCCTGGGTATCACCCACGTTTTCCAAACCTAACTGATCGTCAGAACACCTTGGAACATGGTAGGAGTGCAGTTTCAGGGGTTGTGAGATGCCACCTGCCTATCTTTATTATTAGGAAGCTGCAGAGGAGATGCCGATAATCAGAAAAGTTTGGGAAAACCCAGCCAACACCTACGACCATAGAGCCCTCACTACACATACACACATGCACACCACAAACTCACACCCACACACAGAGTAGAGGTGAAGCCGGACACCTCACCGTTCACACCGTCTGCCTCATTATCCCAGCTTCCTGCCATCTCCTACCTCTAAGGCCTGGGCTCCCAGGCCAGCACTCACCTGCAAGGCTGCTCTGTGCAATAGCCGCTGGGAGTCGTGGTAGGCACCTTGGGCCAGTGCTCAGCACCTGGCTTTCCTCGGCCTCTGCTCATGATCCCAAGCGACCTTGGACATGTTCCTTCTCTTCTTCTGCTTCTGGGCCTTGGTTTTCCCACTAATGCAAGAAAAGGTTGGTTTCATTCAGCAGGTTCAAAGTGGATTCAGAGATTTCTTCATTTTCCATGAACGTGGGTTGACTAAGAGACTTACAAGCCACATCCAGCCCTTGCCCATTTCTGTAAATAAAGTCTTATTGGAACACTGCCTTGTTACTTATTTTCCCCATATTGTTGTGGCCACTCAGGCATAACTCAGAGGCAGAGATGGGAGGCTGAGGCAGAAACCGTATGGCCCCCTGTGTCCGGGGTCCCAGGATACCCCCCCCCCACACACACACGTTGGGTGATTCACTAGAGGGGCTCAGAGGACTCAGAGCAGTCATACTCTTTAAGACGGCTTACTTCCATCACCAGCGAGAGAAAAACACATAACATCAAGTCTGGAGGAATCCACGCACGGCTTCGCACAGCCTCCTGCTGGAGGAGCCACACAGAACGCGTTCCTTCTTGTGGCATCAAAATGCAGAAACGTGGGCAGTATTTCTCCCTAGAGGAGACCGGTCAGGACTCGGCTTCTTAATGGGGAAGTTTTATTAAGTGCACAGGTACTTTCTGGCCATGTGATCAGCCCCATGGTCTCCAGAATTCCAGACCTTCAGAAGGAAAGCAGGTGCTCTCCGTAAACTGCATTGCTTGTACAGATAGTCCAGGCAGGCTGGCACCGCAGAATTCAGTGCCCCTGGCATACAGAATGACTCTGTGACTTAGTACCGGGGGCACCTTCGCTACATTCCCAGATATCAGCCAAGAGCCTAGACCTGCTGTGGTAGCTCTTTGCCGCATACCTGCAAAACCTAAAATATTTGCTCTTTGGCCTTTTCTAGAGAAAGGTGCTAACTTTGAGCTGCAGAACCCTCGAGTGTCTCTAAGGGGAAACTTGTTGGCCTCTGATCTCCATTTGACTCTCCCACTCCATCCATGTCACTCTCTACCTCTGCTGCCACCAGCCTGGTCCAGATACCACCATCTCCCACTTGACAGTAGCCTCCTAACTGGTCTCCCAGAAATGTCCCTTAACCCCTTGGCCCCGTAGGCCTCTCTGAATCAGCAGCAGAGTGATCTGTTTGAAATATAAATCTGACAGGCACCTCTTTGCTTAAATCCCTTGTGGGGTTCCCTGTGGTCTTTGGAATAAGATCCACATGATAGGGCCTCCTAGGGCTTCCTTGAGCTGCCTCCTTACTGTATTCCCATCATTCTTCCCCTCTCTCAGCTCATTCCAGATGCTGGCCTTCTTTCTGCCTCAGGGCCTTTGCGCATGTTGCTTCTCTGCCGAGAACGCTCCCTCTTTCCTCCCTAGACCCTCCTTCCACACCTTGCCCAACATCCACTCATCCTTAGGACTCAGTTTAAACATCACTTTTTCAGGTGAGTCTTTCCCAACTGCCAAGCATGCACCTCTAGTATTTCATACTTATTTTCCAAAGCACTTACCATGTTTGCAGGGAGATACATATGTGTGTGTGTGTGTGTATGTATGTATTACCTGTGTCATTTGTTTAATGTCCATTCATTTGCTTAGCAGATATTTACTAAGTGCCTACTCTGTATCAGAGATTATTATAGATATCAGGGATATAGCATGGACATTGGACAAAAATAATGATCCTTTCCCCATGGAGTTTATGTGCCAAAGAAGAAAGCAGTAAGCAGAACAAAAAATAAAATATGCAGTCCATTAAATGGTGACAGGAAGTCACAGAGACCAAGTATGGAGTTGCAAGAGGAGTGCTTGGGAGAGCGTGGCCAGGACTTCCTCCCAGAAAAGGCAGCTCGGAAGCAAGGTCTGTGTCTGTTTTGCTCCCCACCGTATCTCCATCCCTAGCTAGCTCAGTGCCTGCTACATAATAGGTGCTCAATAAACGTTTGCCGAATGACTATAAGAGCCAAAGCTATTGGAGATTTTTTTTTAAATGTTTTATTTATTTCTAGGAGAGAGAGAGACAGCGTGAGCAGGGGAGGGGCAGAGAGAGAGGGAGTCACAGACCGAAACAGGCTCCAGGCTCTGAGCTGGCAATCAGCACAAAGCCCGACGCGGGGCTCGAACCCACGAACCGCGAGATCATGACCTAAGCGAAAGTCGGACGCTTAACCGACTAAGCCACCCAGGCGCCCCAATTGGAGATTTTTGAAGAAAAATTGCATTGCTTTAGCTAAACATTTAAAAACCTCCAGCTCACCAGATCTGTGAGTTGTAATATTTTTTTATCCCCCTTGTGTGAGCATGCCCACCAAAAGCAACAGAGATAGTTAACCATCTGGGGTAGAGGCAAGGATAGTGACCACCAGAGTGAAGGATAAACAAAACTCCACATAACTGGTATTTTTGGAAGCAGGGGTGTGATGCAGGAAGGGCCCAATGTGGCTGAAAGGAGAGGTGGGAATAGCCCCGAGCTGGCTTCTGTCTGCTCCAGGGGCTGAAAGGCTGGTGGTGGGGTGTATGGTAACTGGGAATCTGTGGAGGAGTCTTGACAAACCCTCAAACTTCG